AAATATATTCTTCAAGTTCATGTAAGAACTTATTGTATATTCATCTTTTATTATTATAACTTATTTTAAAAAACTTAAACCATTTATTAACTTTTTTTTTTCCATAATATTATTTCTCAATGAAATTCTACAATGAAAAACAATAGAAATGAAATTTTTACTAAGAGAAACAAAGAATATTTTTAGCCTGAATATAGTCCTATTCACAATAAATAGAAGAAATATCGTTCGAACAAATCAGTTTCTATTATAGTAACTATTTTAAACATAATTTCAATCTCAACTGAAATTTTCGAATAGATCAATTCAAATGATAGAATAGATTTTTCCATTGTTGTAGTTGTTGTTCAGATCTGAACTCGAAATCGAGGTATAACCATATTATAGATATATTGATAGAAAACTTCTCTATATGAAAAATGTCGAATTTGTTTTCTATGTAAAATAAAATTTTCTGTGGATGTTACACTATTTGAAGTCTGTTGTATTTATTGATGATTTATCATTGATATTTATGTCAATATAGAAAGTAAAATCTCTATTAGTTTTTTTTTTCAATGCTCGAATTTCTTTTAAAAATCTATTCTGTCTCGATTGACTATTTTATAATAATATAATTTAATTGGTAGTTAAATAATTGATAAAGATATTTAAAAATATATTCGTAGATAAGAGAAGATATATGGCGATTTGATAAATTATTTAATTGAAAAACTAAAATGTTAATTTAACTTAGACACAAATGAATTTTGGTCAAATGAATTTATTTGATTGTGAACGACAACGATCTTATTTTGAACGAACAAATCAAAGATTAAAAAGAAAAATATCGATTGACATAAAAAGAGAAAAAATTCTTGAAATTCGACGTGTTCAAGTTTCTATTGAAGTTTTTTTTTTTACTAAAAGAAAAAAAAATTCTTTTTTGATATAGGAACAAATAAATATGATGCGTGAAATATCATCTTATTGTTTAAAAGTAGTTGAAGTTGAACGAATATTATCAGATTTGGATATTGTATTAAATATTCCTATGGATATAAATCGAACAACATCATATGATATTATTCATGCACTTAAAATTGAACAAACTTCAGATTTTATTCAAGAAAAACAAAGAGAAATAAATTCAATTATAAATAGCCAAGAAAAGCGTATTGAACAATTACGAGATTTTATTCAAATATTAGAAGAATATTTACAGAATAAATCTGATAAATCTTTTTTTGATTCAACATATTATATTAATTATTCAAAATCAATTAATCAA